ACGAAAATATATAGGCCTACATTATGAGACAAGAGCAAAAGGAAGTTGGATCCAATATTGACGAAACATCTATCAAGCTCAATAATCATTGGTGGTAATGAAATTGGTGTTTGCCATCTACTGTTCTTTAATAGACCTAATGTGTGTGTGTTTTTTTCTTCTCTTTTTTTACCAATCCCATGAGACTTTTCGTTGAATCTAACGCGTACTATGGATAGGCATGTTCTATATTCTACGCGTATAGCGCGGAAAATGCCTGCACGTCATAAAAACACGTAGCAACTAACAAACAAACCAAACTGAGACTTGATGCTTATAGTTTGTTATAATTTCATTGCTCACAAATTCACTGATTTTACCGATCGGAATCGTTTTTATTACAATTTCTACTACAAAACAAGTGTAGTATATCAAGATGAACGTGTCGAGATCAAACGCAAGGTAGATTAAAAACGAATTATACTTTTATAAGAACTTAAACAGATGACAATATTCTAAGCCCAGATGGCTGCTGTTTTCGGCAAGTCAGACCGTTGTCAAGACTCCTGCGCGGCCGTTGTGGTAGCACATCCCATGCCTCTTTCGAGTCTAAAATCGAAACAAAGTTTCCAAAAAAGTCTCATAATATTGACACACAAAATAATGGTCATTAAATCATTTCAGGCATGATTCATTTATTAAAGGAAATTAATTTTATATGATCATCTATACTGTTTGTTCAAAAACAAGACAAATTATGTAACCATTATTAATGTAAATAAAAATTTCTATTTCGATGGAAAGCCTTATAATAAATAAATGTATTATTATGATTTGTGTTTTTTCATTTTTTTCAAAGAATAAAACCGATTCTTTTTGGTGTACAATTACTATTATACTGTTGCTATTACCATCATTATTATTATACAGTATTAAATTATTATTATTATTGATGCTGTATTTTTCAATATTTATTTTATTTCTATTACTGTATATTGACAACATTTTTTCTTTGAAACAGATCTGGACAAGATACAGAGTCGCAGCAACAACAACCAACCAGGCGACGATCATTTTTAAATCGTGTGTGGCAAGCAGTCATTCGTCTGCTATGCATTCGAGGAAACAACGAAACAACAAATGCTGCGGATAATAATCGACAGACGGCAAATATCGATAAAATAACTGAAAATAATACAAGAACTCAACCCGAGGTTACACTAACTCCCAACCAACTTGTAACTGGAAAGCAGACTACTTCTATTATATTATCAACTTTTTGTATTACTAAAGCATTTTCTTATAGCCTTGAAGAAAGTTTGGAACTGAAGAATGCTGATCAAAAAGTGAAGAATATTTCATCATCATCTATCGTAGCAACTTCTTCATTTTCATCAACAACTTCAGTATCATTACTATCAACTCCAGCAACGCCATTACCATCTTTTTCATCATCCTCATCAACATCTTCACTTTCATCATCATCATCATCATCATCATCATCATCATCATCATCATCATCATCATCATCATCATCATCATCATCATCATCATCAATCGCCACTACCATCGTCGTCATTATCTTCTAGCAGCTCCTCTAACTTTTCGAGACTCGCCCAAATCACTACCAGACTACCTGTTGGAAAACTGGATGCAACAGCACAACATCTTAACCTAATGCTTCCACCAATCCGGCTACTAGACTCATCAAGCGTCTCTTCTCTTGCAACCCCAGTGGAACTTGGAAGTGGTAGCTTTGGACGTGTTAACCTCATGTCATCTAATATCCTTGGCTACCATCACCTGGTTGCTGTAAAGACAGCATCCATGAAGTACTACAAAGATCCTGAGGATGCTTGGAACCAGATGTGCCTGGAGGCAAGAGTAATGGAATTCTTGTCAGGTTTACCATCATTCCCAGGTGTTTACGGCGTATTTCGTGAAGGGAACGAATGCAGAATGGTACAAGAATTTGTTGGCGACAATCAAACCCACACCAGTACTACCTTATTAAATGTGATGAAAACCGGACGTCCGACGATAACTGGACTTGAATGCATCACAATGACATATGAGGTCGCAAAGGGCCTCCATGAGATGCACACAAGAGGACTTTTACACAATGACGTGGCAGCTAGAAACATCTTAATTTTTCACAACGGCATACGCTTCACAGCAAAACTAACAGATTTTGGGATGGTGAGCAGCATTCAAAAGCCAAGGCGCAGCAAAAAAATGTCCTTTAAATCAGAAGCTGAAAAAGATCTTTACATATCCAAACATCCCGAGACTCCAATCGAGAAAATTGTACACGGTGCCAGTGACTCAGTGCAAACTGACATCTTTTCACTTGGGTACGGCATCAAAGTGTTGGGAACTGCCATTGGAAACATCCACATGTCAGCCGTCGGAGACGCTTGCATCAGGGTCAATGCGGGCGAACGACCACCTCTCGATTATGTCATCAGCACTCTGGACCTCGTGGCAGACTGTGAAAGGGTAACTCCTGTTTGCCAGTCTATTGATAGACCTTTGTTTTAAACAGCTTTTTAGAAGCGTTACTAAAAAAAAACAAAAAAAAAAAACAAAAAAAAAAAATATATATATATCAACTAAAAACAAAAATAAATTTTTAAAAACCCAAAAAAGTAAATAAATAAATAAATAAGTAAATAAGTAAGTAAATAAGTACATAAATAAGTAAATACATTAATAAAGAAGTAAATAAGTAAATAAATAAGTAAACAAGTAAGTAAATTAGGCAAATAAGTATGTAAGTAGATAAATAGGTAAATAGATAAGTAAATAAATAACTAAATAGATGAATATAATATAAATAAAAATATATATAAAAATAGTAAATAAATAAATAAGTAAGTAAATGACTAAATAAAGATTTAAATAACTAAGTAAATAAGTAAGTACATAAGCAAATAAATAAACCAACAAGTAAATAGTTAAGTAAATAAGTAAGTTCATAAGCAAATAAATAAGTAGATAAGTAGATATATAGATAAATAGGTAAATAGATAAAAAATAAATAAATAAATGGATAGATAAATGAATAACGAATAAATAAATAAATAAGTAAATAGATAAGTAGATAATTAGATAAATAAGTAAGTATGTAAGTAAATAAGTAAATAAATAAATAAGTAATAAATAAGTACATAAGTGAGTAAGTAATAAGTAATAAGTAAATATATAATTTATTAAATAATAAATAAATCAATAGTAACTATATCAATAAAAAATAAATAGATAAATAAATAAATAAATCGATAAATGTAAGTAAGTAAGTAAGTAAGTATGTATGTAAGTAGATAAGTAAGTAAGTAGGTAAGTAAGTAAATAAGTAAGTAAATAAGTAAATAAATAATTAAGTAAATATATAAATATAAAAATAGATCAATAAATAAATATGTAAATAAATTTAAAAAATTAAAAAAATAATTAAATAAATAAATAAAGAAAATAAATAAATAAATATATTAATAAGTAAGTAGTTAATAATAAGTAAATAGATAAGTAGATAAGCAGATATATAGATAAATATGGAAATAGATAAATAGATAAATAATAAATAAATAGATAAGTAGAAAAATAGATAAATAAGTAAGTAGGTAAGTAAGTATGTAAATAAGTTAATAAATAAATAAATATATAAATAGATAAATATATAAATAGATAAATATATAAATAGATAAATAGATAGAATAAATAAATATTTAAATAACTAAGTAAATAAGTAAATATATAAATAACTAAATATATAAATTAATAAATAATCAATCAATAATAAATAAGTAAGGAAGTCACGAAGTAAGTAAGTATGTAGGTAAATAAATAAGTAGGTAAGCAAGTAAATAAGTAAATAAATATTAAAATAGATAAATAAATAAATAAGTAAATAGATAAAATAAATAAATATATAAATAAGTAAGTAATAATTAAATAAGATAATAAATTAATAAATAAATATACGTAAGTAAGTAGATAAGTAGATAAATAGATAAATAGATAAATATATAAATAGATAAATAAATAAATAAATAACACAAGACTAAGACAATATATGCAAAAGCAAGGGTCAGTTCATATGTCATGGGTAAGTTTTTGCACAGCTTGTTCATATTTTCAAAATATTATAATCATCATGCTTGTGTTTCTTTTGACAATTTGTATTTTGGATTATACTGATATTTAACATAAAACCTTTCCATACTTAAATTTATAAATGTATATATTTATAATCATATGTTAGGATGTTCATCCTTTACAATTTTTAAGTTTTGTATCGAATATCTTTCACTGGACAATGCTGCGACTTTATCAGCCTTACCGGAAGAGTCACTCATTTGATGTAAATAAATATAAAAAATTAAAAAAATAATTAAATAAATAAATAAAGAAAATAAATAAATATATTAATAAGTAAGTAGTTAATAATAAGTAAATAGATAAGTAGATAAGCAGATATATAGATAAATATGGAAATAGATAAATAGATAAATAATAGATAAATAGATAAGTAGAAAAATAGATAAATAAGTAAGTAGGTAAGTAAGTATGTAAATAAGTTAATAAATAAATAAATATATAAATAGATAAATATATAAATAGATAAATATATAAATAGATAAATAAATAAGTAAAGATATAAATAAGTAAATATATAACTTAATAAATTATAAATAAATCAACAATATATAAGTAAGTAAGTCAGTTAGTAAGTACGTAAGTAGGTGAATAAATAAATATCTATTTAAATAAATAAATAGTTAAATATGAAAATAGATAAAATAAATAAAAATATAAGTTAGTAAGTAATAATTAAATAAGATAATAAATAAATTAATAAATAATAAATAAATAAATAAAGAAGTAAATAAATAAATAAGGAAATAAATAAATGTACGTAAATAAGTAAGTAGATAAATAGATAAATAGATAAATACATAGATAAATAGATAAATAAACATATAAATAACACAAGGCTAGGACAATATATGCAAAAGCAAGTGTCAGTTCATATGTCATTGGTAAGTTTTTGCACAGGCTTGTTCATATTTTCAAAATATTATAATTATCATGCTTGTGTTTCTTTTGATAATTTGTATTTTGGATTATACTAATATTTAACATAAAACCTTTCCATACTTAAATTTATAAATGTATATATATTTATAATCATATGTCGGGATGTTCATCCTTTACAATTTTTAAGTTTTGTATCAAATATCTTTCACTGGATAGTGCTGATATTATCAGCCTTACTGGAAGAGTCACTCATTTAAAAATTTGTTTAAATAAAAAAGTCTCAATTAAGAATTTCTTAGTCAAAAATGTTATTGTACGTTATTAGTACTTTTAATGATTTCTCACACTTTCACTTTCTTTTACTTTTCAGTATTCCAGCCCCGATTGCAGTTGCGAAATTATTCAATCCGCGTGATTGCACGTCCTATATCCTTTCTACAAATTACAGGTAGGAACCAATATAAACGTAGGCCTATAATTTTTCTCAACACTAGCCTCACAATACCGAATCAGTATACTCAAGGAACAGTGAAATTTTACTGTTCCCTGGTATACTGTATTCGATACAATCACACAACATACACTGTATTGTATAATAAATAATCTTAATAATCGAGGAGCTGTACAAAACTCCAAACATTATGATGGTGATTATAATGGGCCTAATAATAATAATACAGCGCTATAAAGCGAACCATTGTGATGATGATTATAATGGGCCTAGTAATAATAATACAGCGCTATAAGCGATACAAATTTCGACATAATTATGATTTCTTTAATTTATTTGTTTTGAAATCCCTTTTTTTAAACAACAATAACGAAGCACCTAGAGGAAAACCACTGCCTTATTTGTTATTATAGCCCAAGATGTGTAAGTATTCGTCTTACAACTTTTCCACAAATTATTTTTTTTATTTTTATTTATTTTTTGTTTGTAACTTCTATTTTTTTTTTTAATACAAAAATAACTGAGCACCAAGTGGGGAATCGCTAAAGTGCGTGTTAGGACTACATCTACAAGTGTTCGTCCTACAACTTTTACACAATTTCAGGTAGGAACCAACATAACGTATCTGTACTTTTGTCTTCACTTAGCCCACTGTACTGTTGGCTATTGTCGTACTATGATAATATTATAATGCTATTTTCCGTTCTATAACATGGTCCAAAATGTAATACTATTTGGAATGTTTTATTAAAGTTTTGTTTGAAAATTCCCATTTTTTTAAAAATAACGGGGCGACAAGCGCTCCGTGTTATAATGGACTTTAGATATGCAAGTATTCGTCCGACAATCTTTTCAGATTTGGCCTACAGGTAGGAACCAACATAGCAATACTGTAGGCCTATTGTTATTAACACTTAGCCAACTGTATGTGTTTGGAATTGGCATATTGTATAACATTATTATAATAATGATTAAAATTCTATAAAGTGGTCCAAAATTGACTGTTTTTAGAATGTTTTATTTATATTTTGTATGGAAATTTGTTTGTTTTTATTTATAAAATCAACGGAACGCCAATTGGGAACTCGCTACCGTACACCTGCTATGATGGACTTGAGATGTACAAGTAATTGTCCTACTATCTTTTCTACAAATTAACAGGTAGAAACAAACATAACGTACATGTATTGTTATCCACACAGCCTACTGCATTTGTTGGATATTGGCATAGTATATAATATTTATTACATTTCTAAAGTGGTCCAATAATTGACATTGATTTGAATTTTTTATATATTTTTTGTTTTGAATTACTTTTGTTTCAGAAAAATAACGGATCACCAAGTAGAAAATCGCCACTAAATGTGTTATAATGGCCTTTACGTGTAAGTAAGTTTTCCACAAATAACGTATGTATTGTTATCAACCCTAGCCTACTTTTATCTTGTGTGTTGGCATACCATATAATATTATTAAGATAATCATTTCAGTTCGATAAGGTGGTCTAAGGTTTGACTTTTTAAAGTGGAATGTTTTATTTTTATTTTATTTGGAAATTTCTTTATTCTTTTTTAAAAATAGAAACAGAACAGAGCACGAAGATGAAAATCGCTTCGCTACCATGTGTGTTTAAACTTTATATGTCCAAGTATTCGTCCCAGCTTTTCCGTATGTGGAACATTATTGTTTTCAGCACTTGTCCTGCTCTAGTCATTGCTATATAATATTATAATAGTGATTACAGCTCTATAAAGTGTTTAAAATTCAACATTAATTTGAATGATTTACTGATAAATTGTTTGGAGTGTAAGTATTCGCCCTACATCTTTTTAAAAAATTACAGGTAGGAACGAAAATAAGGATACTGTATTGTTGTCAACACTTTGTTTTGTTTTATTTATTTTATTATTTTGTCTTAATGCTGAAATAATACTTTTAGTTCTTTCAGCGCTAATTGGTCAAGTGTATGTGCTGGATATTTGCATACTATACACAATTATTAAAATAATGATTACAGTTCTATAAATTGGTCCAACATTTGACATTATTT